GAAAGTACAAACAAAAGTGCCTTGGAAGTTCAACAGGAAGAGGGAGGGGATCCCAATTGGCCAGGAGATTAAGGAGGCTTTGTAGGGTGCCTCTGAGATGCCTCACAAGCAGAGACGATGGGAAGGGAATTAGGAGGAGGGATAGGCATGAACGGAGACTTCTGGCAGACAGAGGCTCCGAGAGCGGGAGAAGCCCAGTGTGGATGAAGAGGGGGCGCAAGCAGGGAGGCGCAGAGCGTACGGAGCCGGCGGGGAGGATGTTGTTAGAGTCCCCGTGTTCGGGGGACTGGTCTGGCCCTTGTGTGGGAAGGAACAAGGACAGACAGGAAGAGGACAGGCCCAGGGCAGACAGGAGCTGCTGGGACCTGAAACAGTCCTGAGGCAATGGGAAAAGAGCTGGGAGGAGAGGAGAAACAGGGCAGAGTTATAATCGGTAGGCCTCCTGGAGGGGATGGGCAAGGAAGGGAAGGGGATCAAAGGAGACCTGAAGATTTTGAGGCTTGGTAACAGGATGAATGATGGAAGTTGGGAGAAAACAGTGTGGAAGTAGGGAGACAGGATGAGCTGTCCTACAAATACTCACTGAAGTGAACTAAACCCGTGCTACCATGACACAGGAGTCTTATTTCTTAACCAAAAGCCAATTCTCAGTGCTCTTCCCAGGCGGACGTCCTGTTGGCGAGCTAGGAAGGACACCAAGGCACGGGAAGCCCTGGACCATGCGGGCTCAGATCCGGAGGCTGGCCCACAGTGCACCTGCTGCTGCCCAGCTAGTGTGGGGCTGACCTGCCTTGCTGCCTCCACGACAGCCACAGATGGCCCCGAGCTCGGTCCTCTCACCTTCCCGGGTCAGCCTGCTCACATCGAGCGACTCCTTGGTCTTCTCTTCCACAAGGGTCTCAATCTCTTTCATCAGGTCTCCGATCTCCTGGGAGATGCGAACAGCTGTTTCCCGTTCTGACCTGTGAGCACAGCCACTCTGAGGCCTGGATTCTGGGGCTGGCCCTGGCTCCCACTCCAACTTCCCAGACTGGACCTGCCCACCCCTGGCCAGGAGTTCACATCTGCCTGGGCTCAGGAAGCCTCAAGTGCTTCATCAGACCAATCCAAGCATGCAGTTTCTTCAAGGTCCTCACTTCTGTTTCTCTTGCAATCTCTTGGGAATCACCTCTTCTGGAGTCCATGAATCCTAAAAGCAGGTGAGGAAAAAATTAACCGTGTAGGGTGACTGACTTAACCTTCCAGGTCTTGTTGCATAGAATAGGGCCTACAGGAGAATCCACCTGATCACCTGCCTCATCTCAGCAGGTAAAGTGAGAGGTCCCTGAACCACAGTCACCTCTAGCTAGCTGCGCAGAATTCCCCTTTATCGTTCTCTCTCATCCACGGATTTCACAGATCCCATGTGCGGCTCAACCTCCTAACAGTTTTCTCCCCAGAATTACACGGCACACCACTCACCCCGATCCCTTGCGCCCTCATGCTCCTCCCTGACCCCCAGCTCCTGTACCCCGGCTCACCGGATCAACAAAGGGAATTCCAAAAACATCGTAAGCGAAGAAAAGCAGTTCTTTCTCCAGCAGGCTTCGCTGTCGGTACCCCTGGGCACTCTGTGGAAACACAGTGGAAGGTATGCCCTGGAAATCAGCTCTGTACCTCCTGGGAAGTGCCCCCTGGTATTCTACGTGGTGCTCCCAGTGTGACCTGAGGCACCCTCCCACCTAGAGTGTCTATTCCCCAGTCTGGGACAAAAGTGGGACTTCTATGCTCAAGGGTTCCTCTCGCTTGGCTCCAGCAGTACCTCTGAGGGTGGTGTTAAGTGGCTTCCCTTTTCAGGAAAAGGCCCCCTTCCCCCACCATCCCCATTAACCTCCGAGACAGAAAATCTTATGATTCTTAGGAGATAGGAAAATATTTCTCAAAGGAGAGTTCCTTCTTGACTTCTGCAGGAGTTTAATCCTCAGGAAGGAAACCCAGGTGTTTTATTCACTGCATCTTTACCGTCACCTTTGAGGTTGATACTATCATCCTCATTCTACAAAGACACTGAGGTGCAGAGGGGATGCGTGACTTATTTCAGGTGACATTACAGGAAATGGCAGAGCAGGGACCTGCATTCACACCTAGTTCTTCCCAATCCTAAAGCCCATGTGCTCTCTGTTACGCCACTGCCTCCCCTCAGACTTGGAACAGGCCGTGTCCCCCCCGAAGATGGGCAGCTGCAGCAACAGCAGCTGGGTCTGGCACCTGGCCTTCTCACATGTGCTCACAGGTAGGGCTTACCCAAGGCACGGAAACTAAGTACCTTCCAGGTTACATCTTTCCCTAGGTGCCCTGCTAGTCTCCAAGCAGCGGAAGAAAGGAAAAGAAAAACAAGACACCATCAGTTGAAATAAAAGATGAGCGTGGTAAGGAAAATGTTAACAGCGTCAATGAGTCTCACACCATCGATTATATTTACCCAAGAGGAAGATGGAAATTTTTTCCTGGAGTTTAAATGATTGGCTTCCTTCACCAAGTGCTAGACGCCAAGCTAGGGATGCTATCTCATTTAATGCTCCCAACAGCTCTACGAGGCTGCTAGGGAGCAAATCCCGCTTCTACCATTTATTCATTCAACACCATTCAATTTATTGAATATCAGCTCTGTGTCAGGAACTGTGCCAGCGCTGGGAAAGGCAGGGAAACAAATTCCAGTCACCACTACCAGCCATAGGCCACAGTGTGAGTTAACTCATCTCTTGGAGCCAATGTCTTCATCTCTAAAATAGGAAGAACAGCGCCCACCTGACTGGGTGACTGTGATGATTAAAATGAGATGATGGGTGTAGAGCACCCAGCACAGTGCTTAGCCTGGGACAGAGCTCAACAAATGTTAGTTACCTTCTTTTGAGAAGGGAAGTTCTAGTTAAAAATGGTAGATTGACCATGCGGGCTTATCTCCCTCTCTACCCCAGACTCACTAATGTGGCCATAAAGCAGGGGGGGCGGGGGGGAAGTCTTAACCCAGCATGACAGAAACTGGGAGAAGTGCCATCTCCAAACCAGATGGTCCCATCTAGTGGCCAAAGAGGACAACTGCAAGATAACCCGTCTCCGCTTGGCAGATGGCCGGAGGATTATTTCTACTAGAGATCGCAGGATTCCAGAGCTAAGAAGGAAGTACCTTGGTTTTTTTCCTTCAGGGTAGGCTGGTGACTGCACCTCAATGAGTTGTTAGGAAAATCAAATGAAATAAAAGCTGTGAAAGAATTTGTTAGGCAATTGGAGGGTAATTTCAACCAAAAGCGGCTCAACAACCAAAAGGAAGGCAATTTCCGCCAACTTCTTCAACTACTTCCTCCCAGTAACCGGGGGAAAAATTACCCCCTCGGGGCGCCAGCCAAGATTCCTGTTGGGAAAGCATTCTGCTCCAACTTGTGGTTCCCTAGGCCGGGGGACAGCACCATGCATGCGTCTCCCAAGCTGGGAACTTGGTGCCTAATTAGATATGAAGAGGAAGGAGGAGTGAAAACAGCCCCCACATTCTGCCAACTCCACCTCTTACCTCCACCTAGCCAGTTCCCCTCTTCTAACCACGGCCTCCCTTAGGCCGTGGCAGCTCTCCTCTGTACCACCTCAATAGCCTCCTGCTGGAGTCCTGCTTCCAGCACCTTCCCATTAGGAGTCAATCACCATCACATCTTGTCAGGCTACAGCTTAAAACCCTTCGAGGGCTCCCCACTGTCTACCTCATGGACTAGAGTCCAAGGTCCTGGAGGGGCACTCAAGATCCTTCAAAATCTGACACCCCCAGGCCTCATCGCCTATTGCCCCCTACTATCATCTTCTATTTATATGGGACAATTGTCCAGGTTTTCTGCACATGCTGTTCTCTATCTAAAAGGCCCTTCCCTGCCTCATTCACCTTCTGAAAGCTTTTAAAACCAACTGTCAACACCACTTCCTCTTGTGCGGCCTACCCTGACTCGCAAATTGATTCCTCCTCCTCCATGCTTCCACTATAGCTTTGCATGCATGTCTATTATATCCACTACAGTCTTCTATAGATTTTGGATTCTATATCTTTCTGTATCATCAGTGCCATAACGTGTGTTTTAGATGGCATTCAAAAAGACGTGAAAATAATACATGGATAGCTAAAATAAATCCAGTGTATCAACAGCCATAAACAGAAACGTTCAGTCTCCCTCCCCACCCGTGACCTTATTTCTCAGGGGTAATCCCGATTAACAGTTTCTTACCAATCTGCCCAGAAAGTTTACAGCTTAAAGCATATATGTGTATTTCAAAAAAACATAAATAGGATTTAATGTAATTTTAATTCTATATCTTTTTTTCCTTTGCCTGAAATTGTATCATGGAGAGAATTTCATATTGGTGCACAGTAATCTATTCATGCAATGTAATAGTTGTCTTGTATGTCATTGAATGAATGTAGCATAATTTATTTAATCAGTCCCCAAATGGATGGCATTTAACTTGTCTCCACTTTTTCGCTTTTAGTAGCACTGTTCCAATGCATACCTGTGCACTCACCTTTGCATGGTTGTGCTGCGGGGCAAATTCCCGGCAGTCCCACTGCTGGTTAAAGGAACAGTCCAATTTGTAATCCTACTAACAGTGCAGGAGTGTGCGTGCTTTTTTGCCTCCTACATTTCTCCAATATATTTGTAACATTGACAACTGAGTGGCCTCTAGAGTAACTGTAGCTATTTACCATTTTTTCTTTGATAAAATATAAAACTGGTTCAAAGCTTACAGTCATTTTTACACAGAATGTGGATGGTATTTGAGAGAGGCCAGCAGGACACAGGTGACTGAAGGCCACCCTCTGTTTCAGGAGGTGGCTGAGGTTAGAGGTGAGGAAACTGGCCACCTGCCATGTGTGTTCTATCAGCAAGACCCCCGAGATGCTACCCATCCACACAATACTGTGTACATGGTACCACGCCTGTCAGTTCACTATCTCATTTGGCCCTCACACTTGTCCTGTGTTGAGACAGAGCAAAAACCATAACCCCATTATATAGAGAGAAACTGAGATGCAGAGGGAGGGACAAAGCAGCATGCCTAAGATCCCCATGATGTGCCAAAGATCACACAGCTAGTAAGTGGGGGAACCAGGACTTGAGCCCAGACTAGTGACTTCAAATCCGGATTGCTCTGGGCTCAAGGAGAGGGTCTGGGATCTGTGTAAGACATACGTACAAAAATCGAGGTTCACAGTATCAAACTTCATGAAGTTAAAACAGAAAATTTTTGATGTTTTCAATACAAAAATAATACTCTTTTACTGTAGGAAATTTAGAAAATATAAATGAGCAAAATACAAAAATCATCATAATCCCATCACCCAGAAATAACCATTGCTAACATTTCAGTGCATTTCATTTTGGTCACTATACTATATAAACTTTTCTACTTATTTTGGAGTGAAATGGGAATAATGCTGAAAGAGGGAGAGATCAGAAAGAAGAGGGACTAGGGAGGAAAATGAAGACAGAAAGCAGGCGAGAAAAAAAAATTAGCATTATGTTAAAAATGATAAATCTTGGCCAAATGGTATCAAGTCTCAAAGTAGGGGGTGCCAAAAAGGGGAAAGAATGTGCTGCTAACAGACTTCTGGGCCCGGATCCTGCTAATTAATTATGCTAATTAAGGATCCTGCTAATTAATTATGCTAATTAAGGCTCCTTGCTTCCTGTGTTTCCTTGTTCTCCCAGCAACAAGCACTCAGTACATTCCCACCTGCCCAGGCACCCTGTCCCCACCACACCCAAGCAGTGCCAGCTCCCCCTCCTCTACCCCACTCTCTGCCCTCTGGTCTGGGTTCAGCTAGCAGCTGCCGTAACTAATGCAAGTCTCTCACCTCACGCGGTCCAATGGATCTGGCTTGTTCTTCTCCAAGCATGGCGGTATAGTAGGCCAGATTCTGGCTCATCACCTCATCATTGGGGAAGAAGAGGAGATAGGTCTTGGCACATTCGATAGCCTGTGTATAATTCTCAACTGCAAAATGAAAACAAAACAATACAAAAAATAGCTGACAAAAAAGGATCTAATCCTGGGTACCAGGAACCAGTAGTGTTCAGTCTCAGCACAGCTCAAAGCGATGATGACATGACAAGGTGGCCCAGCTACAAAACAAAACTGCCTGATTTGGGGGGAGACATAGAAGAATAAGAGTAACAGAAGTTGTATAAATATAGAATTGCTTCTAAGGTATTTAATGTCCTCAGGGCTGCCTAATATTTAAACAGAAAGAAGTAGAACCCTCTGTATGCCCACATATTAAAAAATTCACAAGTAATTGAAACACTGGCTTCAATATTAAACCAACTTCAGGAATATTCCCATTTTCCTACCTTCTTTTCCCTATGGATTTGCAGAAGGGGAAGAAGATTACAATAGTAGATTGCCTCTTTGTTGATAGGTGTTATTCTCAACTCAACTGTAAATATCGTATACGCTTGAATATGCTGTAATGCTTAACCCACAGCAGGAACTCAGTGAAGACCTGCTGACTTGTTTTTCTGGATATTGACAGGCCCTCCTGAGAATATCAGTGCTATACAAGGGAGAAGGGCTGGGAAATGCCCTGAGTGCTGGTTTAAATGGTAGTACACCCTTGCCTTAGCTGTGACTTAATTCAGATGAAAAATTAGAGTATAAATGTCATAGAAGGAACAAGAGAGAGAGGTCCTAGAGTCTAGTCTCCCTCTCCCAGCTTCTGGGCTACTGGTATCTGCTTCCTCGGCCAGTGGCTTGTGACAAAACACCCAGAGATCACGTGGCACAGTGCCTTCCAGAGCCAGAGAGAAGGCACACGTGTTCAAGAAGCCCAGCAGCCGTAATCCCTGCCTACCTTGGTTTTGGCCTCTTACTTAAAAGCAGCAGAGAAAGAGGAAAGTCGGCCTTACTGTTATAGTAGGCAAACTGCAGATAATTATAATGCGATGGCAGGAAGTCTTCAAATGGTTTCTCTCTACTTGGGTGGGAAGCCAGCTCAGTGACACAGTTCTGCTTACAGCTGAGGATCTGGATGTAATGATCTGAAAGCAATCCAAGAGGGGGAATAACCACAAGGTCAATCTTCAGGGTTCAAGTTCTGGTTAAGATGAACAAATTCAAGTGGAAGCAATTTTTAGTTGGATTTCCCGATTTAAGAAATTTAGAAATGAGGCTGAAGTCGCTGTGTGTACATATATTATCATATTATCATGACATTGCGCTTCGAGCCCAGGCAGGCCTGATGGGGGAGGGGTTGGGCTTTGAGCCACGCACCTGTGATGGCCTGGAAGAGGTCGGCATTGTACTCCAGGTAGTTGTAGCCGTCATAGTCATAGGGTCCCTCGCAGAGTGCCCGGCACTCCTCATCCGCCAGGAAGTACTCCTGCAGCGCCGCCTCGAGGTGGGGCACGGCTTCCTGCGGCTGCTCCTCTGAGTAAAGTCGGACTCCCAGTCGGAACTCATCCTACTGGGAGGAGGGAGTACTCAAACGCAGGCCACCGACAACCCCCTCTCCTTGTTCCCAGCCCTCTTCACAAGGGTCCTCATTTCCAGCTCATCTCAGGCTGTGGGTGGAAAGGGTGGCTGCCACATAATGAAGGCCTTGCGTAAGTGGTCCTTACTTGCTTCTTTTGAAATCTAAAAACATTTAACTAAGTCTAAATGAAAGATATATGGCAGTTCATATATCAAAGATATATGGCCCTTTCTGTAGGGCTAAAAGTTTTCAAAATAAAAGTTTAGTAAAAAAATTTAACTCTTAAATGTTAGAATGTGGTCTGTGGGGATGAAAGCAGTCTTTCCAGTAGTAAGGGATGATTTGGGCTGCTGCATGCAACTCACTACACAGCTCCCATTCTTGTGGACAATAACTATTTTCATTTACCACAGAATTACTTAAAAAAACAAACCCCAAAAGTGTGTATAGTTGTATAATATACTAGGTGTACACAATTTACTTTTAAAAGTCATTCTGCTATTCTTTCTATTACCTCTATTTCTAAACTATTAAAACTTAAGAGAATATAAGCTCTTTATAAAAATGCTATATCATCACAGGCAATATCTCTTATGGAACCCATACTTTTTCTGCTAAACAAGTAGAATAAGAACATAGAGGAAGGGGCAGTCGCGTGGCTCAGTTGGTTAGAGCGCATGCTCTTAACAACAAGGCTGCCGGTTCGACTCCCACATGAGATGGTGGGCTGCGTCCCCCGCAACTAGGACTGAAGGACAACTTGACTTGGAGTTGATGGGTCCTGGGAAAAACGCACTGTTCCCCAATAAAGTTAAAAAAAACAAAAACAAGCAAAAAACAGAGGAATACTGTACCACTTATTATAGTGAAAAGCCAAACCTACATGACCGAAAAAAATGTGACTAGTAAATTAACACAGTCTATGAATAAGAGGGACTATCAAGCAGTCTTTAAAATTTGTTTTGAAAGAAAATCTGAAGACATGAGAAAAGGCTCATGATGTAATGTTAATTCAAAAAGGACGATGAACAATACATACGTAATATGGCACCAAATTAGGTAAAAAAAATTAGATACCAAAGACTTAAAAAAAAGAGATCAAAATATCAACTACCAGTTTTCTGAAGGTGGCAGTATTAGAGATGATTACTTTCTGTTTTATACTTATCTGCCTTTTGCTAATGTTGTATAATGAACATATATTACTTCTGTAATCTGAAAACAACCCCAGTAAATGCCACTTGAATAAAAAGAGAGAGAGGGAAAAAGTTTTTTCACCATATGGGGTTTGGCCTCAAGATCCTTGAAGTCAGTCTCCTTCACCCCAGACATGGTCTGGTAATAGTCTAGGTTCTGACGCATCTCCATGTGCTCAGGATTGCCCACAAAGAAGGTGTGCGCTGCTGCGACGGCTTTCTCCAACTTGTTTATCTAAGAACGAAGCAGCATAGAAATGTAATTCTCACATGCAAATCCTAAGGTTTGGGTCCAAATGTCCACAATAAACAGGAAATCTCAGCCTTCCTGGACCTTCCACTCAGTGTGCCCCAGCCCCTGCCTGCGTCAGAAAACACATCTATGGCAAGAACTACATAGCAGAGATTAGGAGCACAGGGCCCTGGGCAGATTTTCAGCTATTTCTCAAATCAGCTTAGGGGTTCCCCAAATTACAGGAGGTAATGTTTCAACAGTGTGAACATTCTGTTTTAAAACAAAGGTTGTATTGTAGAGGGAACACTGTGGAAAACCAACCGCCCAAATAATATATTCTCAAGATTTAGATGTACCAACTGAGCTGAAGGAATCTAAGGCTTTAAGGGCTTAGGAGTAAGGGAGAAAGAGCAGTTAACAAGGCGACTTTGCCTAAGAACGTGCCTAGAATTTTTTTTTTTTGCATAAAATAAGTATTTTCAACACTTTCAAGGAAAAGTTGGGTAGCTGAAAAATCCTACGATTCTTTATAAAATCCAGACACGGCATCTTCTGATTCAAAGTCCAGGGCTCATGAGGTTAAAACAAGTGGCTATACAGATCTCTGAGGAGGAAAAAGTGTTCTACAGGCCACAATACTGTCCATAGCAATGGACTCCAGCATATCAAAGTTACACAGGATCATATGTAGAATCTAAAGTAAATTACTGATGATCTAATGCAGTGGTTCTCAGCCTGTAGGTCGCAACCCCTTTGGGGGTTGAACGACCCTTTCACAGGGGTCGTTTTTCGATGGTTTTAGGAACCGAGACACAGCTCCTCTATTCGTCTCCAGGTGGGTCCGCCCACATGCAGATACACCCACATACAAGTACCTGGCGTGATGACATCATCGCGCCAACCCCATCTCATACACCCCGTACAAATACAGGTGTATGTGACAGGGTTGGCACCATAATGTACTTATGCGGACCAGTCAACACATGTGTAGAGAACAGCTACTGTGTAGAAAGCAGCTGCTGTGTTGAAAGCAGCAGTATTGGGAGGTAAAACGACACTTCATGAATTATAAATATTTCACAATACATAATTACATATTGTTTTTGTGATTAATCACTATGCTTTAATTACGTTCAATTTGTAACAATGAAAATACATCCTGCATATCAGATATTTACATTACAATTCATAACAGTAGCAAAATTACAGTTATAGAGTAGCAACGAAAATAATTTTATGGTTGGNATACATCCTGCATATCAGATATTTACATTACAATTCATAACAGTAGCAAAATTACAGTTATAGAGTAGCAACGAAAATAATTTTATGGTTGGGCGTCACCACAACATGAGGAACTGTATTAAGGGGTCGTGGCATTAGGAAGGTTGAGACCCACTAATCTAATGATTAACCACATGAGTTTTGGTGTCAGTGACACCAGTGACAAATCTAAGTTTAATTACTCCCTTATTGGGGCTTTAGATAAGTTAAAGTTTAGTTTCTAAACTCAGTTCCCTAATCTGTCACTTGGAGATAGCACTCACTACTTCATACCATTGTTGGGAAGGTTAAACGAGATAATATATACACAGCTTCTAACATATGGTGCCAAGCACATATTAAGTGCTTAATAAATGTTTGCTCAATAAATGTAAATCTTAGCATATTATTAATATGCTAATTTTTTTCTTTTCTGGTCATTGGTACTATTGAGTGCACACTAAACAAGGAGTCTGCCTGGCTGTGACCCTAAAATAGCTACGTGACCCAAGGTCAATAATCCCCATCTCTGTACCTCAGTTTCCTTAATTGTAAAATTAGGAATTTTCTCAAGTCTATCCCTTGTATGGATGTATTCCCTCTCCTATCATTCACCATTGCTCTTGCCTTTCTGTTTTCCATCTCCTCCCTCCTCACTCCACCCCCAACCCTTCTTTATCCCCTAAGCACTGAGGCACCTACCTTCCTTCTATCATGTGAACAACCGCACTCATCTCAAAATGATTCGCCCTGCCACTACTTTCTCCTTCTTCCAAGGCTTACTCCACATGGCTTCCAGAATTAGCATTCTAAAACCCAATTCTAATGATGGCTCCCTGAAGCCTGCAGAATTCTCTTGCACTCTGGCCTCACTCTATCTGGAATGGCCATCCTTGCTCTCCTCTAGCAATACCTAGGATCAGCTTCAAATGTCACTTCTTTTTTCAAGTCTAATTTCTCTGAGACAAAGCTAGATTCTCTCTCCTTTGTGCTCCCACAGCCCTATGTACATACCCTCTTAGTAGTCCTCCCTATAGTGATTCTTAACAGCAAAGCAAGACAAATGATAAAACATGAAGTCAAGCACTTTAATTACCTGTACAAGAACTGGAATGTAGTAGGTATGCAATAAACATTTATCAAAGAATTTTTAAAAGTGCTGTTAAGTGACATGACCAAAAACACAGCCCATTTATTTTGGTTTCAAGCCCAGAGCTAGTCTGAGTAACTAGGAGGAATGGAGCAAAACTGTGTATGCAAAATGCTTGTGGAGAGGTGGAAATCTGAGGTCCCCTCAATTTTCTAACTTTCTCTTTAGGTCGAATTGAACGTCTGTTAAACTACGGATATAATAGATAGGCAACACAGTTCCTACTTCTTTTTTCAACCAATAAAATGGGGCTAATAATAGCACCCACGATACAGAATATTGCCGGGATCTGGGTAAATGAATTAATCAAAGCAAAGTACTTAAAACAGTGCCTGAAATTATATGCTGGCTATCATCATCATCATCATCATCATCATCATCATCATCATCAAACAAGCCAAGAGTGCTCCAAATCCATGTATACACTTGGACTTAAGGCACTCTGGAATTCCTAAAATTACTCGTTTTCTTTGGAAACCTAACAGACCAGCCAGAGGGTCCCCTACAGGGAAAGGCCAGACAGCCCCTACTGGCGACGTGGCAACCTCGCGTCTTGAAAGAAAGCTGCAGCCCTCGGGCAGCAGGAAAAGCATCACTGAAAATCGCACCGGAAGGAAGATATTGTAGAAAGGTCCTAGCTTCTCACTCAGACACTTAACAATGAAATCAGGATGAGAGACCCAAGGTGCCGCTTTAGGTCCCTCTAGGAGGCCTCCCGGGGAAACACACAAACCCACGTTTTGCTTGGTGGGTGCCTTAACCCCGGGCTGGACCTTTGGGGTTACCAATGAATCGGAGAACTGGGCGAGGTAGGTCTCCCGGCAGGGCCCTTGCTCTCCGTGTCCGAGGTCAGGAGACCACCTTCCCTCTCTGCGGATACTTCCCTGGCCCCCCAAGTTCCCCGGCATCGCCTGCAACCACTCCCAGAAGGACCCCAGCCTCCCAGTCCCAGGCAGGTCTGCACCTTGAAGTAGGCGACCTGCAGGTAGTTGTAGGGGCTCCGCTTGTGGAACTCCAACTCCAGTTCCTCGCTGAGTGAGTGGGAGGCCGGCGGCCCCAAGCAGCGGCGCAGGCAGGCGGCGCGGCGCAGCAGGCCCCCGAAGAAGCGCAGGTCATGCAGGGCGGTGGCGCCCGAGGCCTGCGTCAGGATCGGGGGCGAGCTGAGGTCCAACTCCCACGGGAAGTCGGCGGCACACCGGGTGCGGCAGCGCAGGCGGAGGGCGCGCAGGGCCGCCCGTGAGCGCAGCGCCCGCTCCATGCTCAGTACCACCCCGGGCCAGTCCCCGCGTGCGTAGGCCGCAGTCCCCTCGGCGAAGAGCAGATCCGGCGCCGACATGTCCCACCCCGCCTCGGACTCGACCTGGGCCCGGGAGGCACTGGTGGCAACAGTCAGCAATGTGGTCAGGAGACTCAAAGCGCTTGCCGCCATCGCCTCTTTAGACCTAACCCTGTCTTTTGCCACACGCCACGGAGACCGGAGTCCCACCCCCGGGAAGCTCTGCCCCGCCCCGCCCCGCCCCGTCCAGCCTCCGAGTGAAGCTCCACCTCCCAAATTGGGCGGTGCTTGTACAGGAGGCTTGCATGGACTCCGCCCCTCAGCGGAATCCTGTGCGTGAACCGGAGCCCCGCCTCCCGCTCCGCAGCTCTGACGCCCAATGGTCAGGGAACACAGAAGCACCGCCCACGGGCCTTTATGCGCACGCTCTTCCGCGCGCGCCGCCCAAGTACTGGGGAGGAAAAGGTGCTGTCATGGAGGACGCTGCAGCGCCCCGGCTGACTGAGCGGGTCCCTGAAAATCAAGTTCAGTCGGCGACAAATCGGGGAGGTACGCGGGGCGGGAGTCATAAGGGGGAAAGAGGCCCTCATGGAGCAGCTAGTCTGCCGGCCTTCGCGGGAAGCCGAGGGCGGGCGCTCATGGCCTGTATTCCTGGGTGTGTGTCGCAGGAGCCCTGGTGGAGCTCACACCGACCCCCGGCGGCCTGGCCCTAGTGAGCCCCTACCACACCCACCGGGCTGGGGACCCCTTAGACCTCGTGGCGCTCGCAGAGCAGGTGCAGAAGGTGAGGAGACGCCGCTGGGGAAATAACCATCTTCGTTCACGTTTGGCAGTGTCACAGACACTTAGTGTTGGGGTAGCATTTGTTCTTGTCTCCATTTTACAAACGGGGAAAACTGATTGTAATTGCGAGTCAGTGGCCGGACTCGAACTCCTATTGGAGACCAAAAGGCTCCTTCAGCTTCCACTTGAGTGCCGGTGATCTGTCTTCCTTCGTGGGAGCGTTTACACAGCACTTTCAATATTCGTTATTTCTCTTGGACCTTATAACAGGTTAATTCTAATCATTTGACACTGAAGAGAATTTTCAGGGGCAAGTTTCAAGATCACTTGAATGCAGATTCTGCAGGGGTGCATAGTTCACTTCAAACTGCTTCTTCCCATAAGATCTTCATCTCAGGAGCTTTTCATTTTTCGTTTTTATTTCATTATTATTATTATTATTTATTATTATTTTTTTTTTTAGCTGAGCCATCCTGCCACCTGTTGGCAGCTCAGCAGCAGCTCAGCTCAGGCCAGGAATTGAACCGCTGTTGCCCAGAGCTCACACTCTTGAGCGAGCTCTTAACCAACTGAGCCACTCAGCCAGCTGTCAGGAGCTTTTAAGAACTTAGCATCTTTTGGAAGGGCAAGGACTCCATCTTTGCCCTCTGTCCTCATTCTTTGGACGCAGTATTGGACAAGCCCAGTGCTTACATATTGATTGCTAGAAGAAGTAAAATAAGGAGGAAATATGAAATAACAGAAAAAGCACTGGAATTTGGATGAGTTTTAATCCCACTTTTGATATTAGCTTGCACTATGACTTGAGGCAAATTACTTTTCTCTGGACCTCAGCTTTTTTTTATCTATAAAATGCAGGATTTGAACTAAGAAAGCTTCTAAATCCAAAGCGCTGAAAAACCAAATTTCATCTAATCTCTTATTAAGACTTCCAGCTGTTGAACCCTCTTTAGTTTGTATTTATATAGGGCCCTGCTGCTTTAAAGCTTATGATATCCCCTTATCCTTGTATACACACACTATCACATTTGGCCTTAGTTATGTTCAAACGTCTTTGTTTTGCTCAAAGATATTTAATAATTAATGTGCTCAAATTCCCTCACTTACACATCTCTGTATTTCAGTTTTTGGTTTTTGGTTTTTTTTAATTAAGAACTACACAAATGCTTAGGCATCTCCTTTGACTCAAACCTTGTGCCTTTTCTAGAGGTGGAGAGCAAAGTATAACTCTTATGGATTAGGAGAATGTCATGTGTCTGTTTAATCAGATCACTGTTATTGGGAGGGAGGCTTTCAGGGCCAAATTTTAGGCAAACATTTTCTTGGGTAACTGAGTAACCATCGTGTTTATTACACTGGCTGGAAACAAAGAAAGAAGAAACACAGTTTTTGTTACTTCAGCCTATAATCTAGTGAAATATAGAGGACTCATTATTGTACTGCCTCCATTTTTTCAATATTATAAATCTTTGAGAGGCCAAAAAAAAGACACTCTAGAGACAAACTGAATCAAACGTATTTACTGTCTGTTTACTGAAATGTACTTTCTAACAGGACTGACCTCTGAACATGACTTTTAGATACTAATGTGTGTTTAGAAAGCTCTGTGAAGACATGAAATTTGGAATCACATTGATCTGTGTTCAGATCTTCAACTGCCATTTATTAACTGTGAAGCCTTGGACAGGTTGCTTCACCTCTTTGAGTCTAAGTCCTAAAATGAGCAAGTGAAGTTATCGTTACCTTCAAAAGGTGTTATGAGAATTAAATCAGAATATATGTAAAGGGCCTCACTCACAGTGATTGGGGCCAGAGTTTGTGCTTGGTAATTATAGATACTCTTTCCCTCATTTCTGTTTTAATTAGGTTCTTTTGTTTACAAGGAACAGATTTGCTGACACCACCTTAAGAAAAAGATTTATTAGAAGGCTACTCCTAACCTGGAACTACCTTACTTCTAGAAACCACCTAATCTCTCATTGGCCATAAGGTGCCTCTTTGTCCTTGGAACAAAATGCAAATTCTTTTGCCTAGGCCAGGGGTTGGCAAACTGCGGCTCACGAGCCACATGCGACACTTTGGGTACGTTCCGTCTCAAAAGTTTGCTGACCCATGGAAGAGCCAATCCTCTCCCTCACAGCAATTTAAAAATTATTCGAGAGCCATAAATATATTTTTACATAATCACCACTATGTGAATAATATCCTTTAAAAATTTTAGAAGTGAAACTATGATAATTTTATTTTCATTTTCAATTTTACTTCAGAGGCACACTCTCGCAAGCCACAGTTTGCTGACCCCTGGTGGCTCTTCTGTCTCAAAGTTTGCCAACCCTTGGCCTAGGCCACAAGGGCTTGCCTGATCTGGTCCCTGTCCTCTTTTTTTTATTTTTAAGATTTTATTGGGGAATTGGGGGAAGGGAACAGTATTAGGGAATTGGGGAAGGGGAACAGACAAGTTGCTGTCCTTTTGTTCTTCAGTCTAGTTGTGGAGGACGTCGCTTCACTGGCCCATGTTGGTATTATCATTGCGTTCTTCCCGGGTGAGGCAGTCGCTCGCCGGCCATTGGACGGCAGCTCACGAAAGCACACGCCTGTTGCTGGCCAGCCCCACTGCAGCCTACACCCTTGCTGGCGACTCACGGCAGCCCAGCTCCAGGTCGAGCTGCTGTTCACCATCTTAGCTGTAGAGGGCGCAGCATCACTGGCCCTCATGCGGGATCCAAACCAGGGCCCTGCTGCTCAGAGCTGGTGTCCCAAGCCAGCTCCTAACGAATGCGCCACTCGGCCAGCCCCCTGTCCTCTTTTGTGCTTCCCCCCTCACTAACTACTCTTCAGTTGTTCTGGTTTCAAAAATGTCTGGAAGCTTTTTCTCCAGTTCTTTGCATGGTTGGCCCTTTCCTTTTGTTCAGATCCAAATCAAATGTCACATCCTCACTGAGGCCTTCTTGTCTGTAGAAGGCTATACCCCACCTCATCCAAATGACAGTATTACACACATGCATTTCAATTACTGCAGTCCTCACCATTCCATGTTATTAAACCAGTTACTTCATTTATTAGCTTTCTTTGATCTGCTTCTACCACTTAATTATGGTTATTTCCTTCCTAATGGTTCATGGTTGTTCTGAGTACATATAATACTATTGTGTTGTTGGAAAAGTCATGATGTATTTTTTCTGTTTTTCGTTGCAAAAATGCGTCATGACTTTTTCAACAACCTGTAGCTTTAATTATCTTTCTTTTCAGTGTCTGTATTAGTCACCAGAGCTGTGCTGTACAATATGGTAGCCACTAGCTACATAATGGCTGTTTAGTACTTGGAGTGTATGGTTACTGCAACTGAGAAACTGAATTTTAAATTTTATGTAATTTTAATTAATTTAAATTTTAAAACCTTGAAAGCTTTAAAGTATATTTGGAACAATTTGTGTGAATCGACTCTTTCAACTATAAATTTTATGAAGTCTAAATACAGATCATGTATTTCCAATGAAAATTTAGCATCCAAATTGATAGGTGCTGTGAGTATAAAATATATGCACTTAATATGAAATGTAAACTATCTCAATAATTTTTAAAATATTACTTACATATTGAAATGATCATTTTTTATATATTGGGTTAAATAACATTATTCAAATTAGGTTTGCTTATTTATTTTTACTTTTAACATGGCTACAAGAAAATTTAAAATTCTCTTAAAATTACATATATGACTTGCTTCATATTTTAAAGGACAGTTGTATTAGACTGTAATCTTGATGAAGTTAGGGACCTCGTGTTTGCCAGTGCATCCAGTGCCTAGCATTGTGTCTGATACACAGCAGTTGCTAAATGTATATCTGTGGAACAAATAAATGATTGACTCAACTTTCTCAGCTGTTTTTGTTCACTGATTTATTCCTGACTTTTACCTTCAGCTTCCTCAACTAACCAGAAAATTCTCTAATATTTCTTAGTTCAAGTTCATATTTAACATTCTAGTTTCCTTCCTCAACTTAATTGTAGTTGTGGTAACTGGAAGTTCATCAGCTTTTCTTGAAAGTAAGCTGGAAGTTTTGACAGATTTCTGGATGCCTGAGTGATAATCCTTCCCAGTATGTGAATTGGGCACACCAGTTTCTCCTAGCTTTGAAAATTATTTGATTTATTTTAAGCAGTTTCCATTGCCTTCAATTGCATTTTCTAGCATATGACATGCAGTCTTACGTGTACATTATAACTTCGTTTCAGGTCTGCATCATAGTGCAGTCTTTTAAAATACATTTTAAGTAACAATTAGGAATGTAAATATAAGTTAAAATATAACTAGGTATGATATAAATAATTCAACTGAAGTAATGGTCAGATTAACAGATACTTTCTGTATGTAGCTAGATTTCTATATAGCAGGTGATAAGAGCCATATCACAAGTGTCTTTGGATTTTCATGTCTTTGGATTTTTATTGTTAAGACCCACCCATGATTTCAGAAATGTTTAAGCATGAGAAAATAAATGGAGACCTGAGGAATAAGTGTAGTTAGTTAGGCAAAGAGCAAGGGGGAAATGTCTTAGATGAAGGAGAGGGCATATTCAATACCTTTGGTAGCAAGAGAGAACAGGGCATGATGGAGAACTGAAGAAGTTCAGTGTGACTAGAACATAGCTTGAAAAGGTAGAAAGCTATGAGAAATAGAAAAGAAGGAGCACTTAATTCTATGGTGTGGGGTCATGTCAGGATTGGCTTCTCATAAGCAGTTCGTTTGAGCTGCGCTTTGAGGTGAATGGGAGTTTGGGGGAATGGCGAGGATGGAAGAATATTTTTGGCATAAGCAAAAGTGCTGTAACTCTTTACATTGGAATCTAAATAAGAACATTGTAGAAGTCTGATCCTTTTTCCACCCACAGTTCAGTTTTCTCTCAACTTTAGGCTGATGAATTCGTCCGAGCAAATGCCACCAACAAGCTGACCGTGATAGCTGAGCAAATCCAGCATTTGCAAGAACAGGCCAGGAAGGTAAGTAATGGCTTTTAGGCATACTTTCATTTTCTTCATTTCCTTTACAGAATTGACTGAGCTTGCTTATAATCATTGTAGCTTGTCTTCAGTACCTCCTACAAATATATAGAGGTGCTGAGCGAAATAGAGTAAGACCAAGAGGTCAAGTGTAAGGTTCGTTTTTTTCACTAGGAGAAAGTTCAGTGAGGTAAAGCATTTTGAGGAAAATATTTGTTTTCAGTTATAGAAAACATACACTTATTACAGAAAAATAAGAAATTTAAAGACAATAATGTTTAACATTTTGAAATATAATTTTTCTAAAGGAGTTTTTTACAGCATAGTATAATATAGTCTAATTTTTGTCTCTTCAGAATTGTCTGAATCCCAGTAGTAATTCATTGCTATGGGGGAGCAAGATCATAAACATTGAACAGTTTCCAGGTTTTCATTGGGATAATCAATGAATGTGAGTGCCTGTTACCTCCAATGCCTAATTTGTTCCCTCTCTGTGGTTCTTAGGTGTTAGAAGATGCTCGCAGAGATGCTGACTTGCACCATGTAGCTTGTAATATAGTGAAAAAACCTGGCACCATATACTACCTTTATAAACGGGAAAGTGGTCAGCAGTATTTTTCCATTATTTCTCCAAAGGTAAGAACATGTATTTTTGCATAAAATTCTACTCTAGTCTTTGAAAATTCTTGGCGTATGTGCGTGAAAATGTAGGCATGGGGATTGGTAAACGGTTTCTGAGGAAATTGGAGGAGGTATGAGCCCAGCCAGACATGACTCTAAAAAATATACATGTGCTTAAATCATTTCACAGCCATTATCTTTGTGAATGGCGGAATCTGACATGTAATGTAATGCTTTCTAAGGATGGTTCTGAATGGTCTGAAGTGAAAAGCCAAAAAAATGTGGCATAATTAGGAAATGTTTCTTTATGTCCTACCCTGATCAAGAGCTGACTCCTTTGCTTTCCCTAGGAATGGGGGACAAGTTGTCCACATGACTTTCTTGGTGCCTACAAGCTACAGCATGACTTGTCCTGGACTCCGCATGAGGACATTGAGAAGCAAGATGCTAAAATCAGCATAGTGGACAAGTTGCTAAACCAGCCAGTGGCCCTGCCTCCAAGCCCTGAACCCAACTTCCAGGGACTGACTCACTGAGAGTGGACTCTGTCAAACAACTCTCACGGCAAGGACCTGTCACCTCCTTGTTGCCCCCATTCTTTGCCTTGATGGGAAGTGGCATGAGAATTGAGGGCATGTAGGTGAATCATGAACTTTTTGGAAGGCGACTCTGTGTGATTGTGATGTTGTCATTACTTTTAGTTGGGATGGTAATGAATCACATTGGTTTTTTTTTTTGCGGGGGGGGATCCTCTCTGGGTTACAGATACCCAACCAGTCAGTTTCTGCATACTGGCCAGTGTACTTAACTTCTCCTTTATCTCCACCTGTTCTCCCCATAAGTCAGAGCATTAGAGAAAGAAGAGTTTCTTCTTCCCACCGGAAGTTTGGCAAGGATTTCCAGAGGGGACTCATTTCAGTTTTTTTCTCTAATTAGTCTTTAAGATTGGGTTTAGGCTACTTAACAGTTGGTGCAGCTCCAGCTTCAAATTCATCTGGCAACAAGAATGAGGGGTAATGGAGGGTGATAACTTGTCTTGGTTGCACTAGAGAAGGTGTGGTTCTGGTGTTGCTGCACTATTGGTGAGGTTTGGCATGCCCCTTCTGCTCGTTCTGTCTTGCTAGAGTGACTGGAGAATCTGAGGCAGCAGCAATGGCCAGGTTTGGGGAAGGTCAGCTTCCAAACTCAGAATGTTGGACTTGGAAGAGAGGTTGGAGGCTGCCAGTAACCATTATATAAATCCACTCTATAGCCTCACCGAGGGGGAGATTCAGAGTTTAGCCATCTGCAGCAGGACAAATCCATTTAAATAGCAATTTTAAAATATTGTGGAAGAGAGAATAGGGCAGTGGGTGAGAAGCAAGAAAAATAGCCAACCTGTTGGTTATGAATTAACTTAGATTGAAACTCATATTGACCTGAATTATTCAAGAACTTAGCTAGGTTTCTTGGCTGAGTTACTCTAGTTCTAAACCTGACTGGACTCTTGTGGGACTCTACCTCACTTCCTGTTTATTCAGTGGAATTAACTAAATTTACAGCATATCCAGCATGGCAGTATTTCTTCACAACATGCTGTAAAAAGAGAGATGTGTACTTGAAACACAATTTTCCTAAGTTCCTTTCTGGGGACGGGTGTCCCTCATGCCGATCTGCTTGCTAAAACCCTAACCCCATCCTGGTGTTCATTGCCTTTCCTTATATGCTGCACTCCTTGTGAGCTGTAAATGGTCCACGAGGGCCTAGCACATGTGGGGCTTAGCATAACCTGACAAGGTGATATTTGGTCTCTCAGGTCAAAAGGGGATGCTGCGTGGAGTCACCTGCAAAAGCCTCTGGGATGCTGTGGGACACACACACACACACACACACACACACACACACACACACACACACACACACACACACACACACACACACAGTGGTACAGTAGTTGATTCTGACTTCAGAAAGTTTCCCAGGTTTTCAGAAGGTCCTCGTCTGCATGGTAATGACACATCCTGAATAGGTGCTTTATTCATTGTCTATTGCTGTATAAGTTACCACAAATTTACTGGCTTAAAACAGCACATATTTATTTCATAGTTTCTATGGGTCAGGAGTTCAGGCACACCTTAGGTGTCCTCTGCTTCAGGGTTTCTCACAAGCCTGCCATCAAATTATTGGCCAGGGCTGGTTCTCACCTGAAGGCTCAGCTGGGGAAGGATCTGCTTCCAAGCTCATTTAAAGTGTTGGCAGAATTTCAATTCTTCCAGGGTTGAACTGAGGTTACTGACTCTGTTTACTCACAGACTATTAGCCAGAGGATGCCCTTAATTCCTTGCCACAAGGGTCTCCCCAACATGGCAACATTCTTTTTTTTTAAAGATTTGATTGGGGAGGGGAATAGTGTTGGGGAATTGGGGAAGGGGAACATTGTGTTTTTCCAGGACCCATCAGCTCCAAATCAAGTTGTTGTCCTTAAATCTTAGCTGTAGAGGGTGCAAGCTCAGCTCTAAGTCCAGTCACCACTTTCAATCTAGTTGTGAGTGTGTGTGGGGGGGTGTAGTCCACCATTCCAAACGGGAGTCGAACCAGCAACCTTGTTGCACACTGAGCCATCCGGCCGCTCATCGGCAGCTTGTGGCTGCTCAGCTCAAGGTGCCATGTTCAATTTTAGTTGTGTGTGGGGGGGAGGGTACAGCCCACCATTCCATGTGGGAGTCAAACTGGGCACGTGCTCTCACCAGCACAGCGGCAGCTCAGCTTGGGCGCAGCTCACTGGCCCATGTGGGAATCAAACCAGCAACTGTGTTGCTCAGAGCTTGAGCTCTAACCAACTGAGCCACTCGGCCGGCCCCATGGCAACTTTCTTCATCAAAGCCAACAAGGATGAGTCTGCTAGCAGGATGGAAGTTAGTCTTAGGTAGCCTAATCACAAAAGTAGTATCTCATACTTTCGCTATATTGTATTGATTAGAAGCAAGTCAGAAGTAAGCCAGCCCACACTGAAGGGGATGAATTATGAAAGGGCATGAATGCCAGAAGGCAGAAATCATTGAATCATTGAACAGTTCTTAGAATCGGTCTGCTACAGCGCTCAGCTGAGAGGGAGAAAGGAAGGTCCCGGATAAAAGGCAGTAATACAAAATGGTTAGGTGTGGTGGCATTGAAATCACACATCTTGACATGACTCTCAGCTCTGACAAAGTAACCTCCCAGCTGGCGTCTACTTCCTCCTCTGTCCCCTCTGTGATCCATTCTGCATACAGTCATCATGTTGATCTTTTGAAAAGGCAACTCCCTCTCACTCTGGACATTTCCTAACCACAGAGCCCTGATTCAAAAGAAAACTTCCTTCTCTTCAACAAAGTGTGCTCCCCACACTGACCACCAGGTAATACCATTGATCTTTACTGCTTAAGCCTGTTACCAAGCTTAGTGGAAAGTTAGTGGCAACGTGAAGTGATTGTGGAGGCTGCATCTCAGAATGGGTGACTAGGACCCATTGATTATATACAGTAACTAGTTTTCACCCATCCAGTCAGTTCCTAAGTATTTATTGCCTCCTAGGTTCTAGGTTCTGGAGAATAACACAGCTAAGGAAGACAGGCCCCTATTTCCAGGGAGCTCACAGCAGTGGGGGAAGAAACCATGTCAACAATTACGAAAGGGTATAAGAAGGGCTCTGATAGACATACGCATGGAATATCATGGAGCACAGTGGGGAGAGGTACCTAACTCAGCTTGGAGAATTTGGGAAGACTTCTTGGAGGAGCTGACACTTGCTTAGGTATTGAAAAACAAAAAAGCTTTTTTGGAGGCTCCAAATGTACTCTATAGGAAGGTTGTCTGGGGTAGGGTTCATTTTTGGAATTTATTTGTGAATGAGGAAAGGGATACCTACATAAGCCATAACAACAGAAGTAACTCTGGCAATCAAGAAGGGTGGAATGAGATGTGTCCCAGCTAGAAAACTCTTACAAAACTCTTACTTCTAACAAGTAGAAGATAGGTAGATGAAGAATGGGAAGAAAAGCAATTCCAGACAAAAAATAGCATGTGAAGGACATTGACAAGAAGCAACATATAACATTTTGGGAATCGCAGCCAGTTTAAAGTGAAGAATGTGGGCCTGGGGCTATGGAAGAAAAGCTAATGGAAGGATTCGGGGTAGGGAGTTGGTAATATTGGCCTTTTAGAAGCCTTGTTTTGGTAGCAGAGGATGAGTGGAAGGAAGACCGTTAGGAACCTGCATCCCTTGTACAGGTAAGGTGATGGAGTTCTGAACCAAGATGGTGGTGGAAGGAGAGGTGCCATATTTCATCAGTTGTAAGATGTACTTTTCTTCCCTCACATTTTCAAATCTCTGAAATCTGGATGCTTCTAAAAGTCAATGGCATGTCATAGTTTTTTTCTTAGAGCTACATAAAATAATGTGTCTTAATGGAGGCACCGTAGATTTGATGAAGTATGGCATTTTAAAAGTACAGCAGGTCCTCATCGTTTCTTTCAATGTCGTTTTGTTAAAACGTTGATGAGATGCCATAGGAACTTAACTCTTGTTTCTATCAGTTAGCCTATAGTACAACTGGTGGTGGTATACATCGTTTTGCTTTAAGTCACAGAACCTATTGACACTAAGTGAAGATTGCCATCTTGTTAGCTAATAATATGTAGAAGGATGAGTGAGAACAAAGAATCTTAGATATGCTTGAATTTCTGTCTTGAGTGTGTGGATGGTGGAGATCCACTCAATAAAATGTGGAAGAGGAAGACATCCCTGATGTTTTCCAGAATAATTAGCAATCTTTATTTCCTTTTGTGATCCACTGTGCCAACCCTGCCCAGGTTCACTGGGTGTACCAGCTGACTCCCCCTCCCTTTCTGCACCCTAGAGTTCTGCAATGAGGGAAGGAGGGCTTTCTGTGTCCTTCCCTTCTCAAGTTATCAGTCCACAAGCATTGAGAATTTTGGTATTGTAGATACAAAGATGATAAATACTGTTTAGTGCGCTTTTATTCTGTCAAGCATAACCATGATCTGATTTAATTTTCACATAACTCACCATCGATGAGGTATATAGTATTCCTATTTTACAGAGTGGAAACATCTGCTCAGAGATTAAGCGACTGGCCCTTGGTTATACGGATAGAAAGTGGTAGAGGTCAGGCACAAACAGTTATGTACACTGACCATCACCATAACCCTGTTCTGGCAGATGAAGACAGTCCTAGAGGATCTCAGTGTAGGGGCGTAGAGAAGTTAAAAATATGCAAGTGATAGAGTAAGTTATATATATGGGATAGTATAGGAGTAGTTCCCTTGAGTGTTTAGTGATGAGCCTACATAAGCTGTATGTTGAGGTCCAGAGAAGTAACTTAAGGTCACACAACTCATAAGCAATTTAATGCGTGCGCACACACACGCACACACACACACACACACACACCACCCCTCTTCACGTGATAGTCAGTCTCCTGACATGTCAGTTTGAACTGCTCCGGGCCAAGCCCTTGGCCCGCTTTACTATCTATAGGCGATCTAATCTATTCCCTTAGCTCTAAATACCACCACGTGCTGCTGACTCGCATGCGTGTCCAGCTCCAATCTGTCCCTCAAGTTTCGTGCAGCCTTGTGTATCCAAAATCCTTACTTGACGTCATTACAAACAACATGTCCAAAACA